GAGCATGTTATTTTGGACTCCATGTTTCTGAGGGAGAGAAAACACGTGTGCACAAGAGGCTGGCTTTAGCACTTGCATATGATAATTCATGCTGCTGTGAGTAAAATCAGGTCCCAAGATCAGTGCAAATTTAAGGAGAAAGGGGGAATTTTTTCCTCTTATTGTATTGCAATATCTGTAGTTTAAAAGGAAGTAATCCTGACAGTTTCTGTACATATCTAAAATACATGGGAATTTAGGGAGGGGGAGAGTCAGAGAGGCCCCTGGTCAGCCAAGGCTCTTGCACTCTAGTAGAGATGGAGGCAGCTTTTTGTACTATGTGTGGAAGCATTTTGGTATTTCAACAAAAGCACCTATATGAGTAGGTATATCCTAAACAGAAGATCTGAAACTATTATAACTTTATGTTTATGTTTATGTCTGTTACCTGGTGAGCAGAGAGTTAAAATGCAGTACACTTACACATGGAGTATTACGTGGCTGCAAGAAAAGTAAAATTTACAGGAAAAATGGATGTAACTGGAAAAAATAATTCTGAACGAGGTTACCCGGACCCAGAGAGACAAATGCCGCATGCTCTGTCTCATGTGAGGGTCCTAGCTTCGGTTGCTGTGTTTTGTGTGTTGAACATGGAATACATACACAAGCAGGAAAACTAGAATTGTGCCATTGGTGGAGATGCGCTTGGGGAGGGGTGGTAAAAGAGAAACGAAGTGAAAGCAGAGTGCAGAAGGGCTCAGGGCTCACGCAGGTAGTGGAGTGATGGGGATGTGAACATGAGGGGCCAAGGAAAGATTGAACCAAATTAAAGTGTGCACGAAGAAGCTCCTTAGGAATCCATGATCTGGCAATTCAAGTACAAAGATACAAGAGTAGAACATAGGTATGATGGTTAGTTTGGTATCAACTTGATATAAGCAAGAGTCATTTGGAAAGAGAAAACTTCAACTGAGTAAATGCCAGATTGGCCTATGGGCAAGCCTAGAGGACTGGTTTTTGATTAATGATTCCATGAAAGAAGGTTCATCCAGGAGGTGATGTCTTAATTAGGATTTCTACTGCTTCGACAAAATACCATAACCAAAATACAAGAAGCCAGGGTTTAGTTGGCAAAAGCTTCCATATATCACTGTTCATCATTGAAGGAAGTCAGGATAGAAACTCAGACAGAGCAGGAACCTGGAGGCAGGAGCTGATGCAGAATGCAAAGGCCATGGAAGGGTGCTGTTTACCGCTTGCTCCTTATGGTTTGCTCAGCCTGCTTTCTTATAGAACCCAGGATCACCCCCATGGATGGAACTACCTATGATGATCTGGATACTCCCTTATCAACCACTAATTAAGAAAATGTTCTACAGACTGGCCCACAGCCCAATCTTATGAAGGCATTTTCTTAACAAAGATTCCCTCCTCTCAAATGACTGTATTTTGTGTCAAGTTGACATAAGTCTAGTCAGCATGGGGGTGATGCCAATCCTGGGAAGGTGGTCCTGAGATGACCAAGAAAGCTGGCTGAACATGTATGTCATAAGAAGCAAGCCAGTAAGTAGTACTCACTCCTCCATGGCCTGTGCTTTGGGCCCTGCCTCCATGTTCCTGCTATGAGTCCCTGACAAACCTTCCTTTGATGACTGGGATTCAGAAGTGTAGGTGAAATAAACCATTTTGCCCCAAGTTGCTTTGGCCATGGTGTTTTCTCACAGCAATATGAACCCTAATGAAGACATTTTGTAATAATAAAGAGCAGGAGAAAGCATTGGGAACTATGGATTTAATAGGGATGAGGTTGGGAGTAAAGGACAGGTGAGGTAGGTGTCACTTCTCTAAAACTAAGGATATATAAAAAAAAGTTTGTTAGTTAATCAGAAATATATTTAAAAAGTGAAATTTGAACATTCATGAACAATGATTCTCCCAGAATACATGGGCTATCAAATGAAGATCATACTACCTCCTAATGAGTACCAGTCAGAGGCCCCAGAGGAGCCACTTTCTTGGTTAGATTTGAGGTTTGCTCCATAGGAGGGAGTAGGCCTGGTATATAAACGTGGTCAAAACCTATGGCTAGAGAATTCATAAACCCTAGAGGAAGACCTATTGATGGTTTTCTTACTGTTCATATTATCAAACAGCTGTGTGTGTGTGTGTGTGTGTGTGTGTGTGTGTGTGTGTGTGTGTGTGTGTGTGTGTGTGTGTGTGTGTTTATATCCATAGATTGATGTTGCTCCCAACTTCGATCAGAGAAGTTTTTATTGCAGTGGGTAGTTGATCCTGAGATGCATTGCTGTTCAAAGTGCCGAGAATGTGACTGTGAGTACTCAGCTGTAGACAGAACACTTATATCAACTCTCTCCCTGAAAGGGTCACGGAACAACAAAGAAGAGGTGGGAAAGAGCATTATAAGATGCTCTGCTGTGGACACTACACTGCCCTTGACCACATGAGCTCACAGCAGCTGTTGTCACCCACACGACACCTACACAAGGTCAAGTTATTTAAAAATTCTGGTGTGGAAGGGGTGGGAGTTGAGTTTTCCCTTACCTACTGGAGGAGCTGTTGACAGTTGATGGCTGCTGGAAGAAAGAGAATCCATTTTCCTTAGGAGTGTTGCCCACTGGTCGGTTCCCCAAGCCCTGAGGGATGACTCCACACACGTGCATATGACACTAATTGGACTTGTAGGTTCAAATAATAAACTAGTCAAAAATTATAAAAGGAAGGCATGAAGTTGGAAAGGAAATGTAAAGGGGATTCCTGGAGGGAATTAGAAGAGATATGAGGGGCAGACATAATCAAGATACATTTTATACATGTATGGAATCCACAGTCAGTAAACAAAATAAATTTCCAGAAGGGGTAGTGGGGGAAAGTAGACAGCTGTATGGAATAAGATGTTGGAGATGAGCACTTTCACACTTTAGACTCTATTCAGTTGGTAAACTAGAGATAACTATTAGCTCAGAAACAGAAAAGCTGCATCAAAATATATCAAAAGAAGTGTTTTTTGGGACATAACACACACACACACACACACACACACACACACACACACACACACACACATACACACACACACAGTGAAGGCAATAGAAAATGTGAAAATGTGGACCCCCCCCCATATGAGCATCTCACAAAGGGTTTCATTGGTACGTGGTATGCCAATGGTAATTGTGTATAGATAGATGGGTGAAAACGTAGTCTTTGCAGATTTTTTGTCTCCAAAGGCTGCAATCATGCTGTAGTTAGAAGACTGTGCTCGCCAATTTCCTTAGAGGATGAGTCCATAGTTGGTAAGGTTAGTGGGGGAAACCCAAGAGACAGTCTGCAGTGACCCACTCTCGCAGTGACATCACCAGTGAGACATGAATGCAGAAGCTGCACCCTCAGAGGCTCTAGAATCCGTTATCAGTGAGGCTGTGGTGTTGCTAGCCTCTCAGAGTTTTCCTAGATGGAAATAATGACTGGAACATTCCATTCACTTTGTGAATACTAGGGTTTTAGATATAGAACTTTACAATTATAACAATGAAACAATATACTTACGATTACAAATTGGGGCTGGTGAAAATAGCAGTCTTTATTGTTGGTCTTAGAGTCTCATATTGGGTGCTTTCCATAATTCCATGATGATGCTAGCTAGTCTTTCTACACACATTATGCCTTTAACACTTGGTTGATTCTGAGGAATTGGCATCATTACCCTAATTTTTAATAAGACAAGACACAGTTTAGCTTTCCTAAGTAACTTGATTTTTCTTGATGCTCAAAAGTACCAAGTGAAGACACCATCTAGTTCATAGTTCTATTTAACACACCATCTACTACCCTCACTGTTTACAGCAAAGACAGCCATGTCAACTCCTGGAGGGTTCTGAATTAATCCAATCCCACAACTTATTTCTTTTATGTTTTCTACTGTCCAAAATCCATTCTCAAAAAATAATCAAAGCAACTGAAAATTTTCTTCACTGTTGGCGAGGCTGAAAATTGGTACATCTACTGCAAATACGACTGATCGATTTCTTACAAAGTGGGCTGTACTTGTGCCACGCTATTCTGATTTGAACATTTTTGTATTTATCCACATGATTTGAAAATGTGTATCCACCAAAAGCCTTCATGTGGGTGTTTATAACAACTTTAGTCTTAGTTACCAATATGTGGATGAAACTAGAATATCCTGCAATAGCTGAGTTGATAATGGTGTAATAACCCTAACAGAAGAGCATTGTTTGTCCCAAAGAGGTCATCTATCACAGCACAGACGAATCAGATGATTCTTTAATAAATACTGCAAACCAAAAAATGCCAACCACAGCTACATGGATGTCAAGAAGGCCACTGACTACAGTGTATTAATTACTTTTTGTTGTTATGATCAATACCAGACAAGACACAGCTTAGAGAGGAAAGCTTCATTTGGCTTCTAGTTTGAGGATACACTGTATGCGAGGGAAGCTCGGGGCAGAAGCAGCCCTTGGGTGTGGCAGCAGGAATGTGAGGCTGCTTGCTCATATCTAGACAAACTGGGAAACAGAGAAAGGAATTCTACACTAGCTGGCTTTCTCCTTTCCCCACTGTGCTCAGTCCAGGACCACTGTCCATGGAATGGTGCCACCCACTTTCAGTGTGGGTCATATTCCCTCAGTTAATCCTCTCTGAAAATGCCCTTAGAGACACACCCAAAGGTATGCCTGAGTCATACCCTAAATATTACTTAATCCAAACAAGTTGACCTTGAAGATTATCCATCACACAGAATTTAGGGGTGCACATTAGCAGGTGGAGTACTAGGGAATCAATGCAATGAAAATATTCAGTATAGTAGTGCTGTGATAGGTTCAAGACAACATGCATGACCAAATTCTGGAGAATGAAGCCCAATGGAAATTCTGTACTCAAGCTAATAATAATTGGTAGCAATATTCATTTATTAATTAGAACAAATGCTCTTTACTAATGCAAGATCTCTACAACAAAGGGAACTGGGAAGGGATGTGGTGGGTTGAAATTGCACTATATGTACAGTCTCTGTACTTCTTAGTTTTTGTGTGGATCAAAGGTTCTCAAAAATTTGTTTTTAAAAAGAGCATCTTCATACCCCAGGCCTGCTTTGTCGGAATCTATTGTTAGTGCCAGAAACACCTAGTTATATCATTGTCCTTAATGTTTTAGCTCATAATTGAGAACACACAGCCATCATGCTAAGCAACAGTCTGAGAGTGCTCACATGGTCCAGTACATGGAACTGGGACGGGATGAGACGCCACAACCTCTACGAGAGAAGAAGGCATCACCAAGTTGAGAAGGCACATTTAACCCTTCACTTACACTACTTTGGAAGGAGGGGATTAGGACTTGCCTGATTGTGGGTGACAACAGAGAAGATGGGAGTAATGACTGAGTCGTGGAGGAGACTCACAGAAGCAGAAGCAGATGAGACTTCTTAAGAGGTGGACATGTCCTCAGGAACTTTCCAGACTTTGCAGTGTCTTTGAAAATGAGATTCTTTCCAGCTACGATTCTGAGCCTCGCTGCCTCCTTCTGAGACACTGCTCTCACTCCAGTGTGTCTCTAAGTAGAGTCTCCTGATGAAGGAAACACATCCCTAAACCCTTAAGAGTCATTGCAGTGGGAATGTCAATCCTATTTTTCTTCATGTGACAAGTATCACGTTTTGGAGTTATGGGTGAGTGAAGGCATCACGGTGTGTACTTGCATGCCAGTTCTGTCACTCAGAATACCTCAAGTTCAAGGAAGGAACAGCTCTTGTATAAGTTGGGGAGAAGATGGGAAGATGGATGGATTCCAAGTAGACACCGAGTGAGACTCGGAGGTGCACTGTTTATCTGTTCTCTCCAACAAAAAGCAATCGCCAGCCAACAGGTTCTTTTTAATACTAGTCTAGACGAGGTTTTGCAATGTTGCAGGTTCTTAATTGCAGTAATTACTGCCTGGGAACAATTAAGCAGTCACTACCAAACATTTCTATTGGGTGAATCTAGTGTCCTATTAATAAACAGTCATGAAGTTATCTCTCTCTGGAAAAACCTCCCCGGCTGGTTCCATACTACAGAAATCTCAAGCCGGGTTTGTTCCCACACATTCAGAGTCCGTGGAGCAGCTGTGTCTGCCTGAGCCAGAAATGGTCGCCGTTCCTCTGAGAGCCCAGAGGCAGGTTCTGCAGCTGCCTGCTACTGTGACTGTGTTCTTGTTACTAATTAAAGGTAGTAGCTGTGAATTCAGTGTGAGAGACAATAAGCACCCATCACTTATGCACAGATGACCTGGATTTGCCTTCCGCAAATCCTGCTTCCCTCAGCCGGGCTCCTTGCAAATTAAATCTTTTCTCAAGGGAAGCAATTTCTAATCTTTAGATCAAAGCCAAATCTGAAAGATAGCTTTTTTTTCCGAATCATAAATTTCATATTCTAAATTACCATTTTATCTACAACCACCTACTCCAGCGTTCTAGCTGGGGTGAAGTCGCTTTTTGTTTCCCTGTTCATTTTCGTGCTGGATTTATTATTTCAGGGGAGTCTCTGGTAAGCCTCATTCTCTTTTATGTATCCATATTATGGAAACATAGGATGATAAAGCCCGCTGTCAGTCAAAGTGCTCTCTGTTCTCAGTGTCGCTGAGTCAGTCCAGGCCTGAGAGGAAGCTTGAAGGAGGCTGTTAAATCTATTCATAGATGCGGTGATGTTCCAGCCACAGTGAGAGGTTGCAAATGACGCATGCATACACCAGCAGTGACATGGGAGGAGGAAGAGGAGGAGGCTGCTGAGGAGGCGGGAGAGCAGAAGGGGGGGTTGATACAGGATCAGAGAACCGTAGGAAAAACTTGATACCAACCGAACCATGTCTCTGCAAAGACACAATTACAAAGACTTGCGTAGACTGCATCAGCGGAGTTGGCTGCCCTGACACATGTTCCCCATGCCCTTTGTCTGAACTGTCATATGGATTAGTGGCCTGGAATATACTCCTTGCATGCATGTTCGAACACTGCTGTATGTCGGCTCCAGGACACCTGCAGTATTACTAAAAGGTTGCCAAGGACTGGTGGAAATGTGGAAAAGAGAGGATGGCCCATAGGGAAGATGGAAATGGGAAGAAAGTCCTCAGTCCATGCTACTTGGACAGAAGACCCTGGTTCTAGGTCAGAAGAGAAATAATACAGTTCGGTGCTTGAAAGAGATTGTAGCAGACTACACTTTAGAGAATTGTTAAAGAATTGGGGGTGGGGGGGAAGGTTGGAAATCAAACATATTGTTGCTGGTAGATGAAAGATTACCATGGAAATTTTAGGGTTCTTTGTTATGTAAGACTAACTCACACTGATGAGTGAATATGCATGAGATTATTCATAGATCTTAGACAAATGAAAATCCTCTTTCTATTATTCCTACCTATTAACAAATTAACAAGAATTTATTGAAAAACCTACTAACGTCAGGGTGTTAGGTATTGTATATAAATACCAATAGTTCTTGTTCTATTATGACTCCAAGAGTGCTAGGAGGGCCTGGGGAGAAATGTAGGCCAAGCAGATAATGGAAAGTGTTGTTTCTCCAAGGTAAGAGCTGTTGGGTATCCCTCACTGAGATTCTGTCCACCATGCCAGGAGAAGCTTTAACAACTAACAAAAGGTAACGTGACAGAAAGGCCTTAATCAAGCTGGGTTTTAGTGGTGTCTCTCATCATCAGGGTACATTCAGGGAACCAAATATCCTCATTGGGGAATCAGATTAGATTTGATGGCCTCTAATGTCTCCACCGAATCCAAAAGTTATAGCTTTCTATGTTAAGGTTCTTTTATTATTTAACTGTTTTATACATTTACACAAATTACACCTTTAGTCATTTCCCTTCTTCAAGTCCCTCACATTCCACCGTCGACCCTTCTTCTCAAGTCAATCTCTTCTGTCCATGTCTTACTTTGTGTAGGGCCCATGGAGTTTAATAAGTCACTTGTTTGAGGATGGGTAAAAGATTAATTCTAAAATGAGTAATAATAGTTTTAAAACTTCAGTAAACTGCTGCAGGTAATGTGACACTTTAGAGGGTTACTTACTGTTTCTGGATCTAGCTGAACCCTGGTCCTGCTCTCCTCTCTATGTACCAAGTGTCCTCCTATGTCTGGACCAACTGAAGGAGCATCTACCTCCTCATCCCTCTAGCTTATATAAGAAAAGCCATGGGGAGAGCGGGGAGGTAGAACACAAAGTGACAGGTTCTCCATCAGCACCGCCGTTACGCTCTAATGCTGTATAGAACAATGGTTTTGTTGTGGCTTCCACACATACACAATGTGTTGCAGTCACATCCAATCCTTCCCTCCTTTGCCAAAGCAGACCCCTTCTTTACACTGTCTTTTAAGCTAGTTACATCCTGTGAAAGAAAATGTCATTTTATCTTTCTAAGCCTAGTTTATTTTACTTAATACTATCAGTTCCTTTTTTTCTGAAGAATGCCATGATTTTATTCTTTCTGGAAACTTATTACTACTCTATTGAGTATATCAGATTGGAAGAAGAAAAAGGATTTATTTACATTTGATTTTATGTGCAGGATGGGTATTTGTTTGGTTGGTTTGGTTTTGGGGGTTTTGTTTCCTTTGGCTGCATGGGTGGCGGGGCACCCATGTGTACCTGGTTGCTAAGGAGTCCAGAAACAGGCATCAGGTCCCCTGGAACTGGAGTTCCAGATGGCTGTGAGCTAGGAACGGAACCCAAGTTCTCAGTGAGAGTAGAAAGTGCTCTTAACTGCTGAGCCATCTCCAAAACCTTTCTCTAACTTTTTGTAGCTTTAGAACAGTGTACTTCAGTGAGCTTTGGCATCCTCATATGCATAAACGTATTTGCTCTGATGAGGACTCAATAAGGCTCAAAAGTAAATTCCATCCAGCTGTTTATTACTCTAACTGTAAAGCAAATAAGATATCTCCATTGTTGAAAAGTAAAAAGGTGAATACCTTATGACATGTTAAAGTTACATAATTATATTTTGCTGCCCATTGATCAAACTTTCTGTTAAAGTTTGTTCAATGTAAGTTCAAAGTAAGTAGTTGTGTATGATGTGTGGTATCTTTTGAGCTGATGTCTAAAGAATATTCTTTTTGGACTTTATTTGGGGAAACATGTGCCAACTTCATAACTAATGATCCAGTTAGTTTATTGAATATTAACTCCTTAAAATTTAAATAAGATCTTAATTCTATTTTTAGTTTATTTTTATGTTTTGAATTAAATACGTAGTATTACACATGTCTGTAGGATTAAATGTATTGTTCACAGGTGCTGTATACTGTGAAATGTTCAAATCAGGGTAAACAGGTCTCATATTTGTGGTGCTTATTTCAATTAATTTATATGCATTTAATTTGCATATTTATTTATAAATTTAGTGGACTTTATTAGGAATAATTACATAAAACTACCCTTTAAGGCTGGGAGATGGCTCAGTCATTTAGAGTACTTGTTATTGTTCAGGATGAACCCAGGATCCCTTCCCAGCACCAACACAGATTTCACAACTATCTGTTATTCCAGTCTTGGGGTATTCAAACTCTCTCTTTTGGCCTCCATAAGTACTGAACACAAGGGGTACACATATACACATGTAGGTAAAATATCCTTCAAAGGGAAGGAAAAAGCTCAATTTTAAAAATGTAAATATGAAACCAGTGCTATAAATAACTGCCTGCTAAAACATCACTAATATGTCATTTTTTCAGATGGGCACATTGAACCCTGAGCAGGAGAGGATATATCTGGATGTAAACTAAAGGGCTTCCGAAGACATGCTCCCCTAGCTCCCTCATGCCTCCCTGGCAGACCTTCCCCTCTGAAGAAAACTCCCGCAACACAACAGCATTTCAGATCATCAAAGTGTCTCCAAGTGCCCTGCAAGAGAGCCTCTTGCCAGAGAAGGTGAACCCCATAGCTCAGCTACCACCGTGTGAGGAGTTCCAACATGAGAAGTCCACAAGCAATTTGTCAGTGTTTTCTTCCCTTTGTTTTTCCAAGTCCAAAAAATTAACAGGGAGGGAAGTGTCATCAGATTATGGAGGCCCTGTCTGTCTGTGTGCCTTGGGTGATTCCCTCCTCCCCCATCTGGAATACACAACGCCAGTCTGTTTCAAAGCACCCCAGCCACAAACAAGAAATAAACCATCACAGTCAGGGGAATATTTGCAACAGATATTCAATCCATCTTGATTTAAAAAATTCTCATAAAAACTCCATTGTTTGTTCCAATCGACTTCTGAGAGCTCATGCTGGCAGGGTCAGAATTTTGGATGCTAGGGAACAGTATTGTATTTATCAAAAGCTCAGCCAGGATGGAGAATCTGATGCACATTTGCAATTGAACCCACTGTGGAGACTTGAGTCAGAGCTCCAAGGCCTTTGGATCTTTTTACCCTTGGCTTCCTCAGAAAGCATTTGTTATGTGACTAGATGGAGACAACAGAGGGCATTGCTTATGCCTAGGAGCTGTATGGAAATGGAGCGTGGAGACAGACAGCTCCCAGGCCCTGCCTGTCCCGGTGTTGAGTGATGACCATTTCAGTCGCCCCTTCCCTTGTTTGTCACAGTATGTGAAGGTATGTCACTTGGGAAGCTCCAGAACTGAACCGGCAATGTAGCCAGAGCAGAAAGCTGAGGAGGGGTATGGGACATGAGAAGTGCAAATCTTCACTATGGGAGGCTCCCCAAGACAGTGACCTACAGATCAGACTCAGAGAGCTGGGCTAGGGAACCTCAGGAACACAGTGAGCTGGGAGAAGACTAAAATGTATTAATAGCAACTCCAAAGGCTGTGTCAATGTTAAAGCTCTGCTTAATTCTGTCATGAACAGTGTGTCTGTTCTAAAGGAGGACCCAGGGCCAGTGAGCTGAAAGACATCTTTATCCAACCCACAAACACCTGCTCTGTGCTGGGAACTGTGTACAGAAACAAAGCAGGATAGCAAAGCAGGACCAGCAAGCCTCCCCAGGTGCCTCTGCTCATCCATGCCAGTTTCCATAGCCTTATCTTGGCATGAGGCCTGCTTGAGAGCACCAGCCCTTTCCCCAGGTCCTTTAGGCCATTCCATTTGCTTCAAGCCTGAGCTTGGATGGATCAGCTTAGTAGTAAGAGCTATGAGAAAGCCCCGTGAATGCAGTCCTCTTCTACAGTCTGCACAGATCCAAGGAGGGCTTCTTGTGCTCCTAGAAAACACAAAAACACACAAATATCTAATATATATATATATATATATATAAACTTAGTTTATGTCTCTCTGGGTCTGAAGCAGATTCTGGATAATTTGTGCTAGGAGATGTTCTGGTAAAAGAAATGATACCTTGCTGCATGGCTAATAAAATGTATCATCTGTCAGCATTGAAGAGCCCTTTTTAATCCTTAATTATTATCATTAGGCACAAGTGTAAGTGCTCTGGAATTTCATCTTGGGGTGGGGCTCTGTGAACTGATCTTAACTTCCCCAAAGGGCTCTCTGAGAGCAGGAAGCCTGCTCCTGGAGATCAACACATCACCACCACCACTCCTTTGAGTGGAGTTATTTGGGATTGTTTTAGTGACAACTGGTTGGATGACAAAACTATGTAAATTCTGTGGTTAGAACCACTGATAGTCTCCTGGTTACATTGTTTTTGCTAGATGACTTCCCAACTGAGGTCATATAGTCGTCTTTCCAAAACTTGCAAAAGGGATTCTCAAAATTCTCCTAAGCTACCAAGCATCATTCACAGGCACAAAATACAAACCCTTTGAAATGGAATCTTTAACTTGTTGCATAATCTCCTCATTAGCAAAATAAACCAAAACTGAAACAAGTGCCATTGCTAATGGTACCCTTCTGCTTCTGCCCACCTTTGTGACCATCCCATGGGTGTACAGGGCTCCTGCCATCTGGTTAAGTCTGGGGTGGTTGCTGTGAGAGTTTCAGAAAAATTAGGAGCCTTTTCAGAGCCTTTTATAATCCAAAGATGGAGTGTCCTCTGGAGAGATATGACAAATAGTTCACAAACACCAAGCTTCTGCCAGACAGATTTGGGTTTCAAGTCTTTCTCTCCCACTTTCGGGCTGTTGGAATCAGAATCCCAAATTTCATCTCTCGATCTGACATTTCATCATCTGCAAACTGAGAGTGTTGATAACTCCTTTCAGAAGTAGTCATGACTGGGAAGGAAAAGGACATTCACTGAGCACAGAAAATATTACCAAAGACCATGCTAATGATGGGCGAATAGTGGTAAGAGATGGGATAGAATAGTTATAAGCAAAACTATGTCATGTGTATCTGATAGAAATAGATAGAAATAGAGGGAACCCTGCGGGGTTAAAATAATAAAAAAAAATCTTTTAGAGTATAGAAGAACCTAATCTAATTTTAAAATTAAATGTAGGATTCAGTTAGGGGAGGGTAACATGTAGACATTTCAAGTGGACATTTTAACCATGCATAGTAGAAACATTCAGTCTGCTCTGTGACTTGCTGTAGTATTCCATTAAAGGAGTCTTATTTAAATATATTACTTCACCAAGTGATTAATGAGATCCCAAGAGCGCCCTTTGAGAGACATCCATTGGATAGGCATCCATGTTTAGTTTCTCAGCAACATCTCGTAATTGTTTGATTCTATTATACTTCAGAGGGAACACCCTTGGATGTTGCAAATGATACAATTTAATCCTGAAGGTTAAAGATAGAATTAACTTCGTTAATCCATTGACCTAAAGTAAAGAGTCTATCCTGGATTATCAGGGGAGACTCCATAGAATCACAATCCTGAAGTATGGAAAAGGAATGCAAGCAGATAGATGGCAAATTAAGATGGCCGACCTTGAAAGAGAAGGAAGGGTTCTTGAGTCAATGAATGCAGGCAGTCTGTAGAACTAAAAAGACAAAGAAATTGCTTCCATCCAAGAAGAGGCCAATAGCATCTTGGCTTCTACCCAACGTGAGTATACTGAACAAATGAATTCTAGAATTGTAAAATAATGCATTTGAGTTCCTTTAGTACATCCACATTTGCTGATTGTACATAGCAGTAGTGGATACTAACACAAAAAGCCTTTCATTGATGCCAACAATCCACACTTCTATGTTTAAACTTTTGTCCTCATATGTTAACTTCAAGAGTGTTCTCAGACTGTGAAGCATTTGTTTCTGTTCTATGTTTAAGTTTTTGCTCTTATATTTAAATTTCAAGAGCTTTCTCATACTGTGAAGCATTTGTTTCTCTCTTTAAGTTGTACAATAGTCAGATGACAATGGGATCTTTAACTCTCTATGAAGAAAATGACTCTCATCCTAGAATTCTACAGAGGTTTAGGACTTTGTAGCGGTGAAGATGGCAGGGGAGAGGGAGGAGAAGTGTAATACAGATCAGCGCTTTGTGTAAATGCCTCTCTCTCAGTGTGAGTTGCTCTATTTATCAAGATTGCATTCCATCTATCGTGTTTTGTTGTTTGTGTTTTATTTCATATTATATAAACCACCCTGCTTCCAATGGCATCACATTATGAGGTACATTGTTTCCATTTGCTCCATGGTTGGTGATGGTATTAATGTGTCCCATAGAGTTTCCCATCATTTACACCAGTCACTAGTGTTTCTCTTCTTTTAGAGATGTTTGAGGCAGAGTCTTGCTTCATGGCCCTGGATGGTCTATTTTTACTTTCTTAGCAAATAATTAATGGGACAACAGTTTGATTCCATGTAACTATATTGCTGATGGTTAACATTCAGGTTACTACTCATCTGTTGTTGACTTTTGACTCAATCAATGATAACTGGTTCTAACTGTGCCTTTCTCTTTGTGTTGGTAACTGGAGTTCTATGTAATACTTCTCTCCCATTTTGACTGAGTAATTTATTTCTAATTTCAACATATTTGTTCCTATTTTTCACAATGATTTTATGGTGTTGCCATCTTATTTTGCTGCTCAAATCTTTTAAGGGAGTAGCATGCTTATTTTCCTGCTTGCTGTTGAAGTGGAATGTCATATCTTCTCCTGAACCTTTCTTGCCTTTTCCCAAAGTAAGGTCACTGTCAAAACCTGAGATTTCTTCCTCAGAATAGACAAGGCATCACTGAGCTTTCTAGAACATATGTAACATTTCATTTGCTTTTCACTTTGACCCACATTTCTTGGATTGTTTTGTTGGTGTTATTGATGATGTTGTTGTTATTGTTGTTACAAAGGAAGTCAACAGTTAAGTTTCAAATAATCACTTGGACAAGAAAAGTCTGTGTCCCAGCAACCCTCTGGTCCTGATGAGGCCTTCAACTTCTGTGGTACCTTGTCCCCATCATCAGCCTCATCCCTGGTTCACATTTATTAGGGCAGTGGTTCTCAATCTTCCTAATGCTGCTACTCTTTAATACAGTTCCTCATGTTGTGGTGACCACCAACCATAAAATTTTCATTGTTACTTCATAATTGTAATTTTGCTACTGTTAGGAATTGTAATATAAATATCTGATTTGCAGAATATCTGATATGCAATACCCATGGGGTCTCAACTCAGGTTGAGAACAGCTGCATAAAAGGATGGTTTCTATTCTCACCACTTTGTAACCTCCGGGTGAACTTGGGAAGGAAAAAGCCTGCATCATTATCATCATTAAACTCTAAGAAAAACTAGCTTCACCTTCCACTGTGAGTGAGGGTGCTACATATCACATTACAACTGTTGAAAAAAATGAACTGTTGAATACTTTTGAATTCACCCCAGATCCACTGCTGGCAGAGTTGTTGCAAGATCTTGTGACTTAGCTCATTAATGAATCTCTTCATGCATCAAGGCACCACACTTCAAAACCCTGGTAACTAAATGTCAAAAGAATCTGTTTCCTTTGCTATTTTGTGTCTATTGTTTTATGCATTTCAATACATAGTTTAGGGGAAAGGTCTAATGCTTCTTCAGAATACAAAGATAATTGGGACACAACACACAGAGCTCTCACATTAAAGCATGATTTAGCTTCCTCCATCCCAGACTGCTATATCCTAAATAGGAACTCTTTGACTTTTGTTCTAGAAAAACATAGTCAAATTAGGGTACCTGACATTCATTGTTCAAATTTTAATTACATATTCAAAAGAAAATCATGCCCATATTCTGAACCTTGAGCACCATTCCTGCTTCTTTTTCCATGAGTAGAGAAAATAATAACCATGTTCACAACACAAATTCTAAGATCTGTTTTGTGCTCTCTCTTTATCCAAGGTTGCATCCTCTTATACAGAGTTTTTAAAAGTCTGTAAGTTAGATGATGGGCTAAACAGATGAGAATGGGAATTCCTGCCTTTCACTTACTAACTCAGGAGAGCTGGAGAATTATTAAAAAATATAAAACTGAATCAACCCTCAATTTTCTCACTCATATAAGAATCACAATAAAAGCTGTATCCTTCTATCACATGGCAAATTGAATCACTGATCAATGAGATCACTTACTGTAAACGTTCAGCACATTATGTGGCCTGTAATTGGTGACTACTTAGTATCTTCCTGAAAAGTTTACTTTCACGTTAAATAAACATGTAATAACTTAGTCAAGTGTACCCGGGGGTAGCCACCAACTTTGAAAGAATAATGACCAAATAATATTGCCATGCCATCTTCCCATATTCATTTTTTCTATTCCTCCTGTGGGTTTTGAGCACTGCTAAGAAGTGGATAGAGGACCATTTTACTTCTGTTTCTAGTTGGTTTCATCGTTTTGAGTGATGAAGGTCATTTATCTGGTCAAGAGCAATAAAGTGTAAGTGTGTTTCTTGCTTTTCTGCCTTGCCATGCTGTCAATTTGATGGAATGCCAAAAGCTTCTGTGATGATTTACTTGATGTGGGCAGATTAATAGATACACGGAACACTCATTTCCACTCCGAGTTCAGAGGAATCCATGTCTCCGATCTGATCCTTTATTGATTTCATAGACTTAGGCAGCTTTGAGGCCAGCCTTTCACGGTGCTGATGACAAGGCTAGGGCCATGTCAAGTACAGAGCAATCATCTCTACACGCATTGCCAGGGACAATACATCCAACTGAGTAGGATATTTAAAAAAAAAAAAAAACAACAACAAAACAAAAACCTGAGGGTCTGCCAAAAAAAGGGCCACCCTTCCAATATGCCGTTTATGAAATAGGTACTGAAAAATGATCTGAGAGGCATTTATAAGTGGATATTGTCCCTCTATTTAATAGAAACAGTATCGTCTGCCAAGAACAGAGCTCAGGAACCTTAAAGTTGGGGCGATAAAGACATTAAAGCTGCAGCAGCTATAAAAGGGACAGGATTTATTTCTCAATAAATAAGGAATTGAGCATCCTTCCTGTTTTCCACTGTGCCCAAAGCTCTTGTTCGATTGGTGCAGGACTGTACAGACACTGCACTACTGAAGCTTCTCTTCATGTTGTGTCAACTTTTGATGAGTCCTCAATCACAGCAGGACACACAGGTGCTGCTCCTTTGTAGGTTGGGATGGCAGAAGAGAAATGCAGTGAAATAAGTTCAAGAATTTGCATCTGAAACGGGAACTGGAGTTCTAAAAGAGAAGAAGAAGCAACGCCCCCACAGTAAATACACAGATCAATGAGAGAGGTTCTGGGATTATTCCAACAGAGACTCATGGTTAAGACAAGAATAAAAGGTTAATAGACACTTCAAGGTCCTTCTTGTTTGAATGTCTAAGATTCAGTAAATAAACGTCAGAGAGAAGGTACTGTAGCTTAACATATGCAGCAGTTTTATCTGCACTGTGCTGACATTTTCTACTCTCATCTGGTACATTCTGTAAACTCTAGATAAATTATTATCTTGCAGTCGTAGCCAAAGGAATAAGCAGCTCGCTGTGGTATCACTATAATCACCGTAGGAGTGTTACATGATCAGTGTGTTGCCTCTCCAGCATTTTCTCAAATACTCTCTGCATTTGTGTGATCAGAGCCTTCCCTTGGCGGGGGAGAGACAGCCTCTGACAATGGCTTTCAGGCAGCCCTTCAGCCCCCAAATGAGCAGAAGGAAATCAAGTTGAGGAAATGAGTGAGACCAATAGCTTCAAGCGGGGAAATGGAAAGGAATTCAACTGACCAAATCCGAGCCCAAACACACGTCCACAGGCCACACAGGATCCTTAGACGTGGCTGGTGATGTTCTTTTCGATGGGGTCTTTCTGTGTTATCTAAACTGACCTCGGACTCCTGGCCTCTGGAGGCCCTCTTATCCTAGACTTCCAAGTGGTTGTGGCTCCAGGTGCATGCTATTGCACTCAGCCGAAGATTGGAGATTTTGAAGAACTCTAAATGATATTCCGTTACAGCTGACTCCAGTAAATCCTCTCTCACTTGTTTAATGCCTATATCTCCTGAATCTGAGCCCTGAGTCTATAAAAAATGGTGACGATCACTAATCCAGTTAGCGACAACATGAAAGGAGATGAGTTGAAGATCAAGTGTACCTTTGTAGCAAGTGGCAATAATAATAAATAAAAAGATAAATGTAGACCTTTATGCTTCCTGGAGAAATTTGTTCCCTAATACCTCTTTGGTGTTGTTTGCCAAGTCTTTGGCACCATTATGACTCATGCTAACACGGTGGTTCTCGATCTTTTTTTTCTATGCTGTGAAGTCCACACTGAGGAGAGACTTCTTGACTTCTATCTTAGCCCTCCCACTGTGTGAATTTGTATAAATTATTTAACCCCTTAAAGCTTCAGCTCCCACATGTGTAAAATGACCATATTGAGATATCTGTTTCATGAGCTAATCTCTTTGAGTAGGTTACTACAGTACTGTGTTATTTTGTCAACATCAAATAAAATGTTTGCTATTCCTAAAAGGGTTGCTATATTAGTAATTATGCTATAAAAATGAACAGTAGTAAGTGAGGCATGGTGGTGCAAACCTGTAACCCCAGAACTTTAGAGAAGGAGGCAGAAGGATCAGTTCAAGGGCAGCCTATGAACACATTTTCCATGAAAACAAAATAAAAAATAAAGGGAAAGAAAAACAGACAAATTCACAGGAGGAATCACTGTTGAAATAACCATTTAGTCTGGAATGTCTTATAAAGACCTATATGGCAAAAGCCTAATCCTCAGCTTCCTCCTATCTTGACATGATAGAAACCTTTAAACAATGGGAGAATTCTTTTAGGAACTGAGAACTTGCTCCGGAAGGAGTCATAGGGACCTCTATCTCTTTTTTGTTTGTCCATTTTTTTCTTTGCTCTATCACACATTCCCCATCATGATGCACAAACTCTTACCATAGGTCTCAGGGAAATAGGTTCAACCAACCATTGACTGGAACCAAAACTGAGTGCCAAACAATGCTTTCCTGTTTGTAAGTTGATCTATCAGGTTATGGGTACAGCACTGATGTCACAGTGTCTTTTCTGTTACTCTGATTGGATAATCTGACAAAAGCAGTGTAAAGGAGAAGTGGTTTATTTGGGTCACCAATCTGGATTCTAGTCCATCATGTTAGGGAACTTACATAGGGGAGAATTTCAGGGACCTGGTCATGTCACATCCACAGTCAGCATCAAGAGTGCAGCACATCAATGTATGGGTGGTAGTGTTCAGTTCTTGTCTTCTCCTTTTTATATGGTCTTGGATCCTTTGTTCAGAAAATGGTCCTGCCCACAATAAAGATTACCCCATCAATTAACTTAAGAGAATCCCTCACAGACAGTCTCCAGACGGTATCTACATGTGTGTACAGAGGCCTCTCTCCTAGGTGTCATGTTAACAATCCGTCACAACAGGAAAGCTTACTAGCATGACTATTATTATCATCACAACTACTATGTTTCAAACACAGCTCAGAGTTTTACATGCATTGTTTTTGACCCACTCCAGAGCTCAATGCATGGTAGAACAAAAGCTGTGTCATGGCTTCAAGTTGAAAATCTGTAGCTACTGGTAAACTAGGATGCACATAATTAGTATCACTTTGCACAAGGAAATACGTTTTAAAATAACTTAGGACATTATCAAAAGAAACAATGCAAGTTTGGGTTCCGTGATTCTTCACAAGGAATCTGGAAATGAATAGAAACACACACACACACACACACACACACACACACACACACACACACACACACAAATACCGTTTTATCAAGAGTTTTAGCAAAACAATAGTAATTTTGATCAGATTAAGGCATTTTATGCCAAAGAAAAACTACCTTTAGAAACCATGTATTTCATTCACATTCCTTCACTCTCTCAAGGATTGCTAGTTGAAATGATGAAGCTCTGGGTGATAATATTCAAACACCTGGGATTTCAAAGAGGACCGAATGGTGGGGAGCTCTGAATACTCCTATTGTTCCCCACTTAAGCCAGTGCATAGACTTTTAAGGGCTCAGTCAAGTGCTTCCTGAGCAACAGTGTGCTTAGTTGTAGGCCTGGATAGGTTTCCAGAAGTCCACTGGAAAGGTCCTGTAAGCAAGCCCTGAATTAAATGTTTCTCTTATATATTGCCTTGGTCATGGTGTTTCATCATAGCAGTAGTAACCCTAACTAATGCAGTTGTTTTCTACAGTTTTGCTAGTTAAAGTAGATTTTAATACATGTCCACTTGTTTCCATATCCAGTATGAGGTAAAAACCTTGATATCTGTTTAGAAGATAGAAGACTACTATGCTCATTGATTAGAATTAATATGAAAATGACCATACTATGCAAAATTATCTATAGATTCAATTCCATCTCTGATAAATATTTCTGTGACTTTCTTAACAGAAACAGAAAAAACATTATGAAGTTCACATGGAAGCACAAAAGAACCCATATTTTCAAAGCAATCCCAAGTGAAAAGAACAATGCCAGAGGTATCCCCATACCTGATTTCAAATCATACTACAGGGATGTAGTAACAAAAAATCACATGGCACTGTCATGAAAAGAGACACTTTGTCCACAGGAATAGGATGGAAGACACAGATACAAAGTCACACAGGTATAGACACTTGATTTTGACACAGAGGCCAACAATCTGTGTCAGAGAAAAGACAACCTCTTCAACAAACTCTGCTGGCAAATCTGGATAACCACTGGTGGAAGAATGAAACTACATCACTATCTCTTGACTACTTGTACATCTGGCTGTCTGGGCATGCTCCTGCGTGTGCTGATGTACCTGTGTCCACACACAAGTGGAGGACAGAAGGCAGCATCAAGTGTTGCTCCTTCAGAGGCACCATTTCCCTTGCTTTGTGAGACAGATTACTTCACTGGATTATGCTAGGCTGGCTAGACAGTGAGCCTTGGGCTTCTACTGTGGGGAGTCTGGAGCTTCCCAATGCTGGGATTACAAGCATATGCTACCACGGCCTGATGTTTTTTTTTAAAATATGGGTTCGTGGAAGTGAAGTCAGATCCTCAAGCTGTGGCTTTGAATGTGCTCTGAAGTACTGATTGCCTATCTACCCCCCGCCAGCTGACCAATGTTGAGATAGCACAAGAGTCATCAACCTAGAACATAAAAGTTAAGGACATCTATAATCAAATAACAGTTCTACAAGCTCACTTTAGTAATATTAGCCTCATCTAAAAGTTATGTCCATAGAATAAACTATACTTAGCAAAATATAGAGCTAGCTGACTTTACAGGGTTGTTTTTTTTTTTAAATAAGGCAAAATAAGGTACTATTACTTTCAGTTTGGGTTTTCATTCATCGGGAAGAAAGCCAAAGTGGGTTAGTACTTGTAACCAAACACTTCCAAGAATTGTTTTCAGTTTTCTCTTTCATTTGATACACAACATAAACAGAAAACTCAAAAATTAAAAACATACATATAGCTGATGTTTTAACACTTCAGAAAACAGATTTAGGCTAATTTTTTATTGCTGAAATTTGCTAGCTTCCAACTACATTTTCACATGCAATGTCACCAAGCCAATATAGTCTTTCATTTTCAACTTCTCTAAAATGTATTCTTTTATAAAAGAATTTCAAGCAAAGGAAACGGTACGATTTTTCCTTCTTCAATATGAAAAGTTGCGACTTGCTTTTCAGACAATATGGATATTTCTGAAAGATTGCTGAAGGGAAATTCAACCTTCCGACAATTTGGCTTTCATCTTACATCCAAAATGATTATTTTTATGGAAACCATTTCTTACTCAAGGCCCTGTAAAAATGACAAAAAGATCTTTAAAATTCTGAGCATGGTCTTGGAAGGCAATTAATAAGTTAAAAGAGGTAAGAAAATGATGAATCAAATAAGCATAAAGTACCTTCGGTACTGATGGAGGAGGATGAAATTACCCTGGAGAATGACATATGGGAAGGGGATGTCTGTGCAGTGTTTTGGCTTAACTTGTGACATTTAAATTAATGTTACTGGCAAGTAGCTTTAAAAATCAGTCACCATGAGACATCAAAGCTGGCCGGAGGCCCAAGATAAAATAATAATTATTAGTGATTCAATGTGGACAAGGAAAATATGTAATTCATTGAATATTTTGACTTAAAGGATATTTACCAGATTTACAGGTTGTAGTATTGAGTCCTCTCTGACCACGAACTTTACAGTGGAACAAAGCTGTTCATTCAATAAAAATAAACCTAGCGTAGTTACCTGATACAGGTCAAGGCAATTTGTTTTCCTTCTGACTGCTGTATCCTCGTAACATCATGCACATATAGCTTGCAATTGTTGCAAACTCTATAATAATAATATGGGAGAAAAATACTGTATTTGAGAACAACATGCCACAACGGTCATTCAGAAAATAGATCACTCCATTGAGGCAACTTCTAAGCATAATGAAACTGAAATTTACGGCTTGAGAATTAGTCCTACAAAGAGTGGTTATAGGCCTTCCCCTCTACCCAGAGGGAAGATAACCATCAGATAAGATGCACACTCCACCCCAAATGCAGGGTGGACTGCAATCCTTAGCACATCCACTGAATCTCTATGCATTCCAGCTACATTCCATGCAGCATTTGGGAATTTAAATAGGTTAAAGTCAAGGATTTTAATTCAGGGAGTCTTATATTATCTATAGATGAAAAGACTCTCTTTCAAGGTAGTCAGTAATTTTTAAGATAATCCACAGCTTCCTAAGAAGAGAATTCTCTGACACACTGGAGTGTGTGACAATAATTTCTGAGGTAAATCATAAACCATTGTTCCAACTAATAATGGTGAAGTCTACAAACTATCCTGAAAGATTCTTGAAGTACGTTGTGCATGTGTTTCCTGCAGCCATTGTACCAAAGTCTCTTGCCTGTGTGGTTAAATAGCTGAAGCACACTGTCTCAAAATTCTCAAGACTGGAAGTCCTAAGTCAAGGTATTGGCTGGGTTGATCCCTTCTGAAGAAGAATCTAGTCCAGGTATTTCCCCGTTGTAGAGAGTTGGCTCCCCTTGTGGCCTTTCATGGTACTGTCCCTCTGTGAATGTCTTTGTGTCCCTCTTCTTTTCTTTTTTCTTTTTTTTTCCTTTTCTTTTTTGTTTTGTTTTGTTTTTGTTTCCAAGACAGGGT